CGGATCAGCTACTCCAGCTGGAGAGGGCCCGAAGGGGACCAGAGAGGTCAAGGAAAAGTGCCAAAAAAGCCGCGTCCAGCATTCATATCGCAGGGGAAAAGATACGTTATATTTTACATGTAGGCCTTTTTTGAAGTGCATTTGCTGGAAAACGGATGTTGCTGTGATGCAACAACGGCAACAGCGCAAAGTGGCGCGCTTTGAAACTGGCTGTCTCTTGACAAGTATTTCTCTCTCTCTCTCTCTCTCTGTTGATTCCTGACAGGAAACGTAAAATCCCACATCCCCAAATCTTGAGAGGTCAGAGCAGAGATTAAGAAAAGGGACTGTGGATAGGTAGTCTGCCATCCTCACATCTCATTTGCTTTTCCCCCACACACTTCCTGAGATGCCAGGAGCAACATAATTGTGCAACGTTTGAATTTTGCACAACTAGAGAAAATTCCAAAATGCGAAATACTAAAAAGCTGCTCTTTGATGGATCTCTGAATTGACTCCATGGAGGGAAAACCTACTTATTTGCAATGCCTGAAATGCCAGCAATTTGAAAGTTTACTTTAAAATATTGGCCTAGAACTACCAATTGGCCTTGATGCCAATGCTAATGACTGCAAAATAACAAACATGTTTCCCTTCCATTACTAAGGCAGATACTGGCTATTGCAAAGGTGATATTGAAACATGCAGTAACATACTTTACTAAACCAGTTTAAAAATCTTAATTTCAAAAAGACCGTTTTCCCCCCAAATGTTCACGGGTTCTTAATGCAATTTCAAAACTGACTACCCAAATCAACCAGTCAAATATAAAAAGTAATTCCTTCCAAATAATGTAATGCCGGCACTACAAAATACTGCGTAAATGTGCACATATACAATTTTTCTTTAATACTTAACTTACAATGCAATATGGGCTGCTTTCTTAAATTATTTGTATTCCCTTAAAATTCTAGACTCTATTAAGCAGTTTCCTTTTTCCAAAGATTCAACATTAGTTTGAAATTCTTATGTCCAATAATAATTTGTGCATGAATAATTTGTGCATTTATAGGTATATGAAGTAGCTGCTAAGTGAAAGGACATTACCTGGTAATTTGACAGGAAAAGAGTCCACAGACAGTCTGTAAACCAATTAAACATAAACATCTGATGCACATTTTCTACTGAAAGAAAAGCAAGGGAAAGAAGAGAAAGGAAAACTTTAAGGTTCCCAAATCTACAAACAATTTTTACCATTAACTGTACTGTACAGTATTTTCATTTTATTTTTTTAGAATACTTATACTATAAAAGTGTTTTTCAGGATTTCTTGGGGGAATAAGTATTTTAGTATAGGTACATAGAGTTACCCTATTGAATTACCTTAGTCCTCTGGACTCAAAAATCATTTTCTGAGAAGTCAGCTTGTGTTTAGTTTTGACTTTGAGGTGCTTGATGGAAAACAGCTGAAGGCAAAGAACAATTGATGTGCATAGACCTGGGGTGGGTAAAGACAGAATAAGGGGCCTAGAGGTAGAAACTCAGGCTTCATAATACCGTGGGGATAAAGGAGGATTTTCCATTTAACTACCAAAGCTAATACATGAAATTTAGCTAGTTCACAAAAAGAAAATTAAAAAGCGTTGTGAAAATGCAAGGTACAGGAATAACTTGCTTGCTTAAACCCATTTACTCTTTGATTCTTCAGTTAAACCTCAACAAAAAATCCCAATTGTGATTAAAAAGCTGGGGATCGTGGTCCCTTAAGCTACTGAATGAATTCTGAAATTGTCAGGAAAATCAAATCTGGGACATACTTGAATGTGTCTCCCTCTTATTGATAAATGACTTTTAAGTTTATTAATATTGTGTATCATTTTTACTAATTTTAAGTGGCAATATCATTTGGGGGGAAAATTCCCTCTACATTTTTCCTCCCTTTTTTAATAAATGTGGGCTCAGTGCTTTTTTTTAAGTTCAGATATTCTGAAAATAAAGAGAAATAGCTCCAATATTGTAAGTCATTAGTAACACATTACTAATGAATTCAGTATGGTTTTATTCCCATTTTATTCTCATGATATACTTGTCTTTCAAAATTTTAGAAGCCACCTTAAGGAAAGCAGTCTTTCTCAGAAACTCTCGCTTACCTGTTCAGTATCAAATATGTAAAAAATTAACTATTCATTAGCCACAGAATCTTAGTGTTAGATGGGACCTTAGAGGTCTTTTAGTCAATTTCTACCCTGTCTAGGTAGGAATCCCTTATTATGTGTCCCCACTACCAGGCTTTTCCGCCTATCCTAAAACACCTCCAATGACTTACTGTCTGATGAAGAGGCTGCTCTTTTCAGAAAAAGCTGTATGTTTGGAACATTCTCCTTTTTATTAAACCGGAATCTATCTCCTTGTTACTTCCATTCATTTCCCTGAGTTTTTCAGCACTTTGGATTAATTCAACAGATGTCTTCTTTGTATTTAAGTGCAAACAATCATTATTTATACTTGGGTTAACAAAATATAAATCTTTAATGCCTACTGATACTAGAAGACCTAAAAACAAGACATGACAGAGTTAAAGGTATGAGAAAATTCACCAATACCTATAAGCTGTTTAAAATCATTAGTTTATAGTATTTATTAATGTGATCTCCAAAATGGTATTGTTAGAATTGTATAGTAAAATATTTAAAGTTAAACTAAAAAGTGTAATTTCAATTTTATGTGAGGTTTGTGGCTAATGTCCCAAAACAAAAAAATCACTATACAAAGCCTGAATAAATGCCTCTTGAGCTCCCATTCCCCACCTAAATGCTTCCTTATTTTCAGGCAAACTAACATTAACTTTCACCACATTTAAGCTTCTCAAAACTGCTGTTATATTGGGAAATTATTTTTAAGCAATTTACTAAATACTCCATTAAAAAGTTATTAAACATTTTTATAGAGGCTATAATAAACATACACACACACACACACATACCCCTCCGTTATTTTGCTTTTAAGAAAAGCATTTTAAGGTCACAATTTTACTTCAACCAGTACCTTAAACTAACCAATAAATAAAAGTCTTTGGTAATTTATATACCTAAGAAATATAACCTTTTATTCAGTACCAATACCTGACTCAAATGTAAGTACTATATACCTATACTACATAAACAAAATGTTATGCAGTTCAGGAACCTCTCAAAATGCTCCAAGAAAATATTTTAACAATTTAGACTCTAGGGCTGTTTGAATGAAACAGATTAATGCAGCACATTCGAAACCCTAAAAACAAATTCTCTACCTAGCTATTTTCAGAGTCCATGAGTCCCTTTTGAGATTATTTGGTAAACTATTTACTAAAATTTTTATTTGGAGGTGTCAACCTACACATGATGTGCAGGTAAAAATTGATGAATATCTACTAATTTGGTTGAAAATACCTAAATACCAAAAAACTTAAAAAGGATGTTTTTGATAAACTGAGAGTTTACCTTTACTTTAGTAGGCAGAATGCAGGTTACAAAGCAGTAATGCATTACATTCGGAAGCCCCACATCTATGCAAGAATCAGCATCATCTTTTTGTTAGTTTGGTTTTTATTATTAATGCCACCCCAAAACACTTACACAGCCTTTTGGTTCTTCAAAAAACAGTTTGGTTTTTTTCATAATTTTTACATAAAGAGTTTTATCAAGTGGCCCCATTTTATCAGATTATAACAAACTGTTATTTTTATAGTCTTAATACTGTTGACAGGTTATTTTTATCTCACCCAAACTCTGGACATTATTGGCCCATCATCAGTTCTCAAACACTGGAATATACAGAAAGAGTAATGTAATATTTATATTACTTGAGGGAGTTTGGATTTTCCCTCCCTTAATCTCCAAGTGTGCCCTTGCCTACCAGCATCACATCCGTCTTGTCTGCATTGAACCTCAACCAGTTGGTTCTTAACCACGTCCGAAACTCAGCCAGGCACTGGGAGAATCGAGCCACCACACCATCTGGATCAAAGGAAAGAAAGCCTCAGTAGTTACGAGACCAGAGATGATACCACAAGCTCACCATGTCTCTAATTCTCAGCCTGTCTCTAATTTTAAAAAAGATGGCCAGAAATTAGGACAAGGATCCCATGACAATTTTATGAAAACATTAATGAGCCTTGAGACATGCAATTTGAAACCAATGGTAAAGTAATAAAAACGACCCAATACATAGGTCGCCTCATTCCATCCATGATTGAAGAGTCAACTCCACGTCATCTGGGCTAAGCGGCCTCAGTAGACGGGCCAGTCTTGTAACTGCATAAGCTTTTCTGCAAAATTAAGAGTTATAGCGTTGGAGGAAGCTTTAGGACTAACAGGGGCCCGGAGAAGGGTAGTGACTCGCCCAAGGTCACATAGCAAACAGGGACCAGAGATGGGCTCCAAGCCAGAGATCTTTCCACGAAAAGCTGCAAGAACAAGGCCATTTCAAGGAGGGGGAGGCATCTGTCCCCAGGGATCTTCCCACGGACCGGGAGGACCTCATTCCTTCATATTAATGCCCTCTTCCAGTCTCTCTTCCCTCCCTCACTCCCTCCGAAAAGGGCCGGCTCGCCCAGGACCCCGCTCACCACGGGGACTGCGGTGCGAGCAGGAGCCTCCCGAGGGCTGGGACCGAACCCGGATCTAGAGGGAAAAAGAGGCGGAGCCACAGGGGGATGGTCAGCTTAGCCCCACCCCGACCGGATTCGGGGGCCGAAAGGAGAAAGGTGCGGAAGCGAACCGGGCGAGACGAACTCACACCGCAGCGGATTCCCGGCGCGCCGCGACGCCAGGGAAGAGCCGCGCCGCCGCCACAGCCAAAGCAAAAGACCGGGCTCGGAGGGGGTGCGCGGTGGAGGACAGCTGCGCATGCGCCTTGGGGGGGGTGGCCGGCGCTCTCCGGGAGGGGGAAGCGGGCCGGGCGCGTTCTCTTGCAGCCCCTCCCCGGAAGTTAAGGGTCTTCCGGGCGGTGCTCTACCGTGGGGGAGGGGAAAGAGAGAAAGGGGACCGAGGACACTTTAGGAGCCCTTCATCCCAATCAGGACTAGGAGAGGAGAGATGGTTTATGGAGGCTGCACTTACAGCCGCTGCCGCTGCTGCCGCCGCCACCTTCACTGCTGCCGCCACCGCCTGAAGAAGCCCCATCCATCCGCCTGCAGCCGGGGAGACTCAGAACCTGGGAGGGGCCTGGGGCCCTGGCCGCCCGCCTCCTTTTTTTGGTCGTCGTCCGGAGCTTCCTTTTGCTCCACCAACCCTCTGCCCTCCCCTCCGCCTCCGCCCTCCTCCTCGGTCTCCAGCCGCCAGCCAACCGCGCGGCCGCTTGTTGAGCCCGGGCTCCTCCGTCTCCATGACGCCCGGCAAACATTCCGGAGCCTCAGCCGGAGCAGCTAACGCCGGGGGTTGGGGTACAGGGACGCCAGAAGCAGCTAGGGAAGGGGGTGGCCGACCACTCCACAGCGTGTCGCCACCATGCCCATCTCTCCAGTAAACAGCCGCAAGCAGCAGAACCTCTGGTTGTAAGTTCCGGCGCTAAAACCTTAGTCCATCCTCCTGGGTCCCGGAGGAAGCCCTTTTAGATCCTGTCTCTGCGTCTGGGTTCAGCCAGCCCTCGAAGCTCTCATGCGGCAGTGTCCCCTAACTTGGCCTAGTTCAGACTTTTTCAACCCCCAAACTGCTGTGTTTGCTCTACGGGAAAAGATCGGCTTTGTTTAGAGCCTCTCTTCCTCCTTAGCACTCTGGAGTTGTTTTTCCGGTCAGCCGCGTCATGCTTGTTGCCCCTTTCAGTCCTCAGGTTCAGTGAGCCACCAGACTGAACTTGACTATGCTCTGTAATCGAAGTTTATTCTGCCTCCTCATGCCATCGTGCCTTAAAACCCATTACTGCTCGCGACGTTCTGCCGTTTCTGCAACACTTGAACGAGAGGCTGGAAAAGAGCACACAGCTCTGTGGACTTGTTTTGCTTATAACAAATGGTCCCTTAGTAATGCCCAGCAATTGCACTAAAGATTCCTCATTAATCCACTCTCCCACACTTCCAGACCACTTTTGTTCTCTCTTCTCAGACCTTCAACATCTCTCCTCCAATCTTCAGCTGAGCTAATCTTTCTTTAACAGAACTTGTTGAAAGTTCTTGGGAGAGAACCATACATTCTTTCTTGAATATGGTTCTCAGCGTCTTTTTTCCATTCTACCACTCCACCAAAATAGTTTTTGTGAAGGTCAGCAATAGGCGTCCATCGAAATGCAATGGCCATTTCTCAGTTTCTTCTTAACCCTTCTACTTCTCGAATTTTGAATCACTTCATTTGGTTTCTGGGACACCACTCCTCCCTAGTTCTCTCCTTGTTTTATGGCTACTTCTTTTCAAAATACTTTGCTGGTACTTTTTCTTCTTTCCCATATCTAAATATTGGAGTGTTGCTGGGGTCAGTCTTTAAACGCCTTTTCTTCACTATTGTCTTATGCCTTTAAAAATCACCTATACGCTTATGATTCACAAGTTTATATCTCTAGCCAGCACCTCTTCCAAAAACCAGACTTTAATAAAATCAACATCTGCACTTAGAAGTTAATAGACATCTCAAAATTCATATGCAAAACTAAACTAATTTCTCCCTCTTATCTACTCTGCAGTCTTTGCCATTTCAGTAAATGACAATTTCTGCTCTTCCAGTTACCCAGTAAAAAAAACCTTGTTGTTTCCCTTGACTTCTCTAATGCCCCACTCCATCAGCAGATTCTGTCATTTCTACCTGCAAAATAAATCGAAACTACCGCTCTAATAGAAGTCCCTGTAACATTACAGTAACCACCTAGATGGCCTTACTAACACCCTACACATGGTAGTCACTGTGCTCTTCTCAAAACCCTCCAGTTTTTCCCATTTCACTCAGACTAAAATTTCACATCATTACAGAGTCCCACAGGATCTCACCTTGGACTCTTCCCTTTGGCTCATTGTTCCACAACAACATCAGGCACATTATTTTCCCACTCTAAGGCTTACGCATTTGCAGGGTTTTTGGGGGGTTTTTTTGGGTTTTTTTTGTTTGTATTTGCTGTTCTTTGGAATATGGCACCCCCAGATAGTGTCATGACTCACTTATTTCCTTTAGATGTCATCTTATCAAAAAGTCCTTCTCTAACCACCCCTCATAAAATAATACTTCTAATTCCCAGCATTTCCAGTTCCTCAACCTTGGTTTCAGCTTATCCATAAAACTTATCCCTACCCGATGTATAATATACATGTTCATCAGTGCATCTTCACCCAAACTATGGTATTCCATGGGGCAGACATTTTTGTTTTGTTCACTCTTATTGCCTTGAATGAAGAAGGCACTCAGTATTTGCTGACTGAACGAATGAATAATGTACTTCAGTGATATTGGTTACTGTGCATCCTGTCTGGTTTTTGTTTTTACTTGTAGGTATGGAAGTCTCAAAGTAAAATTAAGTTGAATTCCTGAATTCTCTTGGGAATTTCTTAAATAATGACAAATTCCTAAGAGATTACCTATTGAGGAAAGAATCAGGTGGGAGATGGGAAGTAGTATAACCTTCACATTTTGAGATAGCCATGTTATCCAGTTAAAGCAAAATTTCACAGACTTCAACGTTTACAACCATTGATTTGACCTAATATGTTATTTCTCATCTTCCTCCTTTTAAGACTTAATGCTGATCTCAGAAAGGATCCCATAAAACATGTGTTTATCAATTTTCCACTTTCTCTAATTTTTCCTGTATTAGCTCTTTCCCACTAGCTTAACAATCTCCCATTGTGGTAAAAACCACCACTCTTTCTGCAATGCATTGATCCCACTTCTCTGCCCAGTTCCTCTATTCTACTTATTTACATGTTCATTCATTTCCTTTTGATTCTTCCTTAGAGTTTTCATGTTATCTATCCACTTTTTTCCATTAGAGTCCTTACCATATTTACCTTACTCATAATTATTTTATTTCCCAATCTTGACAATTTCAAAATTTCTGCCATATCTTAGTCTGCTCTAATGCTTGCTTTGTTTCTTCAGACTTGTTTTTTGCCCGTTGATATGCTTTGTAATTTTCTGTTGAAAGCTGAACATGTTGCATCAGGTAATATGAATTGAGGTAAATAAGCCCTTAGTGTGAGGTTTTGTGTTTATCTGGCTAGGAATTAGGCTGTGTTTGCTGTAGCAGTAGGTTTATGAGGCTTCAATTTCCTCTAGTGTCCTTGTTTTTGTCTCTTTTTTTAGGTTCCCCTGGAGACTCCGTCATGGAGTCTGAGCTTTGTAGTTCTTCCCATTTCAATCCCCTGTTATTTTACTGGAGACCTGGTGGTGTGGTGGTAAGATGTTGGTAGGAGAAGTGTTCCATAATCCTGTAATTAGGTCTTAGTCTTTTAGTGGAGCTTTGACCCTGGGCTGTGACCTTCAGAAGTTGTTTCTCAGATTTTTTTCCTTGGGTGAAACAAGAGGTCTAGAGGAACTTGGAGTTGGGTATTTCCCTTCCCACATGTTGATGAGGCTCTGCTAAAATAATTTTCCTTGAGGGCAGGCCTTTGTTAAGAAAAGCTGAACATTCTGGGTATATTTTAGAATGTTCATGCCCTATCCCCCTGCTGGAATTATGAGGGCGTTTTTCTTTGATCTTCTTCCCGAGAGCCTGATGGGTGTCATAGTAGGCCTCTGAGGCTGGGGCCTGGGAGTTTTTTGGTTTTTGTTTTTAAAGATTTTATTTATTTATTTGACAGAGAGAGAGAGAGCGAGAGCAGGAACACAAGCAGGGGGGGTGGGAGAGGGAGAAGC